GTGGCTGAATGGCTAACAAGCACATCAGATCATTCATATATATGTATGTATGTATGTATATATAAACACAGAAAAAAGTTTGTTATTGTAACAACCTTTGAAAAATGTTATCAATTTTAAAAACCATAACAAAAGAAAACTATGTTACATTTTATACTTCTTCTATCTAAATTTTTAACAATTTCCCTTGTTTATGGTAGTCCAAAATATCACTCTTTTGAAAAACTTGGTATTATTCCATAGCCATTTAGATGTATGTTGCATCAAGTGAACCTAAAGTGTTAGCCAAAAAATAGATTATATAGATATATAAGCTGAAATATGAGAGATTATTTGTTTATATAAGTTGTGGACAATTCTTACTTGATCTCTGAATTTTAAACACGCATTATTTGCCGTTATTCTGAAGTAGGTTCTACTTTTGTTTCCTTGAAAGAATATTCTATGTGTTTTTACATGGAAAACTATTAGCCTGTCTGTTACCTTGCCTCGCATTATTTATCAAGTATGTTAAAACCATTTTATAATAGAAACAGCATCTATTTCTTTTGCAGATTTTTTTATATATACATATTTGCAATGGGGAAAGGGAGGTAGATAGATGAGGATCACCCCCCACCAATAAAATTTGTATTAAAATATTGATAATTTGATTCTCTTTTGGTAATCATATACTATCATGGGGAGGGTTACCATAAAGATATTTTCCAAAATGAAAAGTAAAATTTCAAACACTTATACAATTATTATCCTGACATGATTTTCTGGAAAAAGGACAAGGTTGAATTAAGTATATTTCATGAACCCTTAATAGGTAATCAGAAAATATTGTTTACATAATTATTTGTGTGTCTGTAATCTGTTTTGTGCTTATTGTTTTCCAATTAGACTGACTGAAATTATTTTCAGAAGACAGTCATTTTTGTACATGAACATTCTCTGAAAATTGCTACACAATACAAGAGAGACAACTCATTGCTTTTGTATTTTTTTAGGCTTTCTTAACCAGTTTCTCAGGAAAAAACATTTCATACAATGACACAATGCTGAAATTAATTTTTACATTGTTTACACTATCATAGGAACTATAACATGTTCAGCATATCAGATTGTGCACAGTGAACAAAATGAAATCTAAATTTATCTTTTTATACAAAATTATTTGTAAACTATATATATATATATATATATGTGTGTGAATGTGTGTACATATGGTAACCAGATAGTGATGGCTCGGCTTCTTACGAAGGCTGAAAATTAATGTAACATTTTTTTTAGTTATTACTGCTCGAGTGATAGTTATGGGAGAAGTGGCTTGTGCACCTACTCTTTTAGCAAGTCATTGTGACATGCCAAAAACTATTCACACATACATACACAGAGGATACTCCAAAGGTAATGGTTCCTATTTTTACAGAAATCCTAACAGTTGGAGAAAGCAAGTTTTCAACTACAAAATTTTTTTTTCAGTCACCTCTATGTGTTTTCAAAATGCTTTTCATTTTATGAATTGACAGCTGTATAAGACTAACAGGAATATGGCTTGTCACAAACATTGCTGCCACGACTGAAACATTATCCACTGAATGTACTCACATACATTGTTTGGTTTCTGTAAACATTCACTTATGGTTGAAGAATGTTAATGATTGCAATTTTTTTCTCCAGGAAAAGATTTGATGCCACACCTTTGTACTATATACACTTTTATATCAGATTCTATTTTGTCAGAATGGGTTATTGGCAGCAAAATTCAACCTTTACTGGCATACCTATAACACAATAAAATGACACTTTATTTCAGGAGCAATGTTTGTGTGTGTGCATACATTATAATTGGAAATAACACCACCTGCTGATTACTGAAAGTAAGCATTCCAGTCATACAATGATTTTATTCTTTACTGTGCTCCATGAATGTTACCTTGCAACCAAATCAGAGGTTGGCAATTCTTACCAAATTATTTTTTATACTTAAATAAATAAAAGTTTTTAGAAGGCAATATTTAACGTAAAAATAAAAATTCAACAGTGTAAGATAAAGATATTAAATAACACTTATGTTATAAACATCAGGGTACCACTTTAGCATGTGTCCGACTGATCAGTTTCTGCTTTAGTGTGTATCCTACCATATTTGTATCCTATATTATTAAGGTATTGTCCAGACTTTTTTCTTGATATGTTAACAGACATTCAGAATGTTTTTATTTAAAGGATTCAAACATCTTGTTTTATGATTTTTTTTAGTCAAATTTCTTATTTTATAATTTTTTTATTTAAAATTTTATAATACAATAATAAATGGCATCCCTCCTTCTGGTTTTGCTTTTCCCTTACGTTAGATAATGTAGGATAAAAATATGCTGGTGGGATACACTGATCAGTAGAAAGCAGCACCAATATCATACTGCTAAGGGTGCTTTTAAAGAGTGTTAAGTATTGTGTTGAGAGTTTTTGTGAAGAATATTGCAAAATTTCATATAAGAAAAAACCTTTGGCACTTTGTGTTTTCTGAGTAAATGATGACTGCAAATGGAAAAATAAATTCAGAAAAAAAAAAAGGAATTATTGGTCTAAAACTAAAAATGTTTTGGAAACAAGAAAAATAAAACTTCAAAAAAGAAAATACTTAAGATTTTGAACTTGACTCATATGGAATTTGGGCCAAAACTATGGCTTAGAAAAAAAATCCATCAATTCTAATAAATTAAGTAAATAATCAAATCTAGGTTCCAAAATTCAACAGAAAAAAATGTAAATAAGAGCAAAATACTGATTCAGACAACATAATTGGATCATATTTCTGAACCTCATACAGAAAAATTTTCAAAATTTGAAAAGATTATTTATAAAAAAAAAAGGAATAACTTAGGTACCTCCACTAATTCACTAAAAAATTAGCACACAATGATGAAAAAATGACCCAAACTTAATAAAAACAAAGTTTTATTGTCAAAATCTTTGTTCTTATTAAGAGGAAAGGCTAAAGGATTTTTTTGATTATTAAATTATATTTTTGATCCTTTTTAGGTTTGAAATTTTGGTTAATTTTTTTTTTTTTTTTTGTTAGTGGAAAGACCAAAGATTAGTATAGGAAATTTTAGCATCTTTTTTGTGGTGAAAAAACATACATTTGGAAATTCTTGCAAAAATCAAATAGCTGTTGGATTTTAGTGAAACTTTCAGGACTTATTCAGAAATTAATTTTAGTTGGGTTTTTTGGGGGTTTCTTTTAACATCTTACCCCACTTATTTAATTTTGTCCCACTTAATATTATATTAGAGAAAAACAGAACTTGGGGAATTTAAACCATAAATTTCTTTTTGTAAAACAGGACCACCAGTTACTGAAAATCTACTATGAATCATAAATTTAAAAATGCAATATAACTAAGACATTATTTAATTAGAAAAGCTTTTAATTGCTTATATAAAAGGTATATTATGGACACTATTTTCTTAAGAAAAAAAATTTTTTTGATAAATAATACATTTTTATAAGGATGGTTTTTATTCTTTAAAAATCTTAATTAGAATAATTTATCAAGTTTTCAATCGATTAAATTTGTTTTACTTTATCCTGGTTAAGTGTTACTGTCATTAAGTAAAAATTATATTTACTAATCATAAATGGAAAAGCCTAGTACAATTCATCAATTTCCAATATTTTAAAAATAAATTTTGGATCTATAAATGTGCCCATTTTGTAAATATGGACTTCTATACATGACATTATCATTATTATAGTGATAACTATAGTAAATTTAAGTACCTAAAATTCAATGAAACATTAGATTATGGAGTATATTTTCATAAACTAAAAATTACTGGGTAGTTAGAAACTATATATAAAAAAAAGGCACACATTATATTTCTCAAGTAAATTTTTAGATAACGTAGAAAAAAAATTAGATAAACTTCCATCTGTCAGTCAACACCATAAATAAACAGCTATTGCTGTATTATAAAATGTATTTGTGACATTTTAAACTTAACATAAATTGTTTCAAATCAGATTATTTAAACTTTAAATCAGTTAATATTCCTCAAATAAAGTTTCAATAATAAAGTATATTTGATTTTTATATCTTTGTTTGAAATTAAAACTAAAAAGTTTCAAGAAAGATTTTTCATTTTATTTTTAAACGTTAGATATCATGAATCTATGGAGGTACCTAAATAACATTTTGTTTCCAAAGACAATTGCGTTTGAAAGCCAGAGGAATTAATAAAACAAATATTTTTTATAATTACCATTCTTGACAGAATTTTTTTTTTATTTATTTATCAAAATATGATAAGTTGATAAGAAACAATGCCAACAAACAATGCTATGTATTGCATGTTGTTCTGTATTGTTAGCTGTGAATGACAAGTCATTGTCTCTTTCTTTTTTAATATACTAATTATTACACCTGTTGGCGTGAAAAATTGAGTTCTTCCTCTTCCTGTCAGTTTTTATGTTGTTGGCGTGAGAGTAAAATGAATAATCAATCATTTCTCATCTACCTTCAACAGTAGACATTTAAAAAGGGAGAGAATAGTCGAAGAAAGTAAATTGATGTAATATTCGGGAAAAAAGTAATGAAAAATTTATTCTTTGGTTAGTTTCAGATCTTGAAAATATAATTTTATAACTGTATTATTATTATTTTTTTCTGACATTAAAAGAAAAAAAAAACGTGAAAGATAAAAAGAATTTTTCTTAAACAGTGAACTTCACTCCTTTCCAAAATAATGATTTTCAAAACAACAGCTTATCGTCATTATGTAGGAAAAGGTGTTTTGATGTAATAGTTTTGCTATAAGTGAGTTCGTTTTTATAATTTTTGTTTAACAATGTTTAAATATATTTTTGTAGTTAAAAAAATGTTTTTTTTTTTTTACTGAGGAAAGTTTTAAAATAAACATTTTCTTGACATGAAATAAACCAAAGTTTAATCCCAAAATGAAAACAAAAATAAAAAATAATGTTAATTATTAATAATTCAAGTTCTTTAACCAATAGCTTGATCTTCCTCATCATCTGGTTCCTTGAGGGCTTCATTAGCGTACCGAATCGCCTCTTCCTTTATATCGTCAGGCACTAAAACATGCCTTCCTTGGGTTTGTTCACCCACCCAGCTCAATTCCAATTCAAATGCTTTATCCTTGACTTCATCGTGTACAATATGAATGATTTTGGCCACTTCTTTGACCACTTCGGATATTGGCATTTCCTTAGTTTTGAGTTTCTCGATTTCTGTTTTGGCCGTTTGTTGAGCTTTACCAATGGCGCAACCGAAGTAGCCCCAGGAGACTCCGGATGGGTCAATCATGTAGAGCTGAGGTAGACCTTCATCGTAAGAGCCCAAGATCATACTGACCCCAAATGGGCGCATCGAACTGTACAGAGTGTAGGCATGGACATACATGGAGACTCGATTGGTGAGGTATTTCAAAGGAATCGACTCACCGTAGTTGTAACGATAGTTAGCTGCTTCTTCTCGGGCTGTGTCTACTACATGGCGAGCATCGGCTAGCAATCCAGCTACAGCAGAACCTATATGAGTATCAATATTAAAGATTCTCTTATTGGCTCCAACTTCGTAAAGTTTGGATCGGACAAGCTTTTCGACACCAAAAACCACGCCGTCTTTGCCCCGAATACCGATTGCTGTACCGCTATTCTCTACCGCCTTTTGAGCGTATTCCATTTGAAAAACACGACCGTCCGGCGAGAATTGTGACGCCGAAAGATCATATCCAGTACCTATTGAACTCATTGCAAAAAATACAGTCTATTTGGAAATAAAGAAATATTGTCTTTAGTCTTTCTTGCCGGTTCTTTTTTCGGAGCCACGCAACCGCGTCTATATGCTTTGTCACGGATTAATATGGCGGCTCTTTCGAGTTACTTGCCCTTAGTTCATTAGACTAACACAATTAAAATCTCTGGAGGCGCTTTCGTTCTCTTTATTTTCATCTTGTTGCCTGCAGTAAAGCACTTGAGGAAAGTATTATACAAGTTCCAATAAATGATTAAATAGTTTCCAATATTGTATTATATAAACTAAATCTAAAGATGTTATAGTATTTTATTAACCTAATTGAATATTTTATGAATCACTTAGTTTTTTTAAAATGGTGATCTTTTCTTTTTCATAGATAATGCAAATGCAATAATAGAACCCAAAGTGATTAAAACACTGAGTTTTATTTGTAATTCCCTGTCATGGAGTATTTGTACTAATAATTCTTCTTCTATAATATCTTTTTTAAAGAAAATGGTTTTAAATATCTATTTTTAATAATCAAGACTTTCATAATTCCACAAAAAAAAAAGAAAGAAATTAACTTGTCAAATCAATAAATATTTCTTCAGTTACATTCATTTTAGTCATTCTGGGATGTGGATAGTCATGGTTCTCTATAGTTTCCATTTTTTTTTTTTTGCTTTAACTAACTAGTAACTCTTACTTCTTTATTATCCATTTCTGTCTTTCTGCTGACATCCATTCCTTCAAATTTGTCAAGTACAGGGTGGTCTGAAAGTCTTGTTGTCCCACCTTCCTTACAAATTGTAGCAGCTCGTTTCAGCTATCTGAAATAGGAAATTATATTATATAGGGGTGACAAAATTTTCAGATCATCCTTTAGATTATTTGTGTAATGTATTTCTATATAATTACTTTTATTTATTTTTTTACTTTTGTACAATTTTCTCATGTTCAAATTTTTATGTTAAACAAAACAATGAATAAATAAGTAAACAGTCTTCTGTAATAATTGGTGTGCAGAGTTTTGTGGAAAGAGGTATAGATTGACATAGGTTTGTGCAGCAGCAGTAAATTCTATGGTTGACTGGCATTTAAACTAAAAATCTCTCATTTTATTCATTCAAGATGGATTGTACAGGCTGATTTTGTTAAAAAGAAACTAGGAAATGTGTGATCAGTGAGATTGTGATTGCATTTATTGAAATTTAAAATTTATTTTTCCTAAAGATACAGCCTGATACTTATGCACAGAAACCAAATTTTGTTATTTTGATTTCTGCATTTAAGGTTTTCATATTCAGTGGCTGTCTAAGTTATGCAACACGTGGGTTACTTAACTTGGCTTCACCAAAAGCGTCCATTAGGTGGCATTATTTAAGTCTATGGAAAGGCAATCATATACTCTCTCTTTTTTCTCCACTTGTTTTCAGATGTAGTTACACATGGGTAAAGTGTCTCTCACTTGGGCACATTCATTTTCATGATCCTCTCTTAACTGAACTCATGCACATATATACCACACATGCTTATTTCACACATACACACACATTCTTATAGCTAGTTTCAATGTTTTTTCCTTTCATTTCAGTTGTGTACACTTGCAATTACTTTTGTTAATACATGCATATAATTGCCATTTGTTTTAAATTCATTGTTTTATGTACTTATTTTACCCGGACTCACATGAGTCCACCGATATTGTTTGCGGGATAAATGTTCCAGGAGCCCATCAAGTTTACAATAAATTGTCCATAAACTTTGCAAACAAAGAAGTAATTCCAGCAACAAATATATTCTGTGTTGTGAATGTATGTATTTATGTATGTAGTTGTAATTCACTAAAATGGTTGTTTCCCCCTGCTTCTCATGCCATAAATATACATTGTGAATCTAAAATTTACCATCCCTCTTTCCTCATTATACATCCAAGAAATTTCACTTGTTACTTTCTGATTGTTAGTAGCAGTTTCATTGGAATATGTATTCTCCTTATGACATCCTTGTTGCTTATATGCCCTGTCCACAGTATTCTCAACATTCTTTGGTAGAACATCTCTCCAGTTTCAAGTCTCTTCTTCTGCTGTGAGGAGATGGTCCAACATTCACTTCCATATAGGTAATTAGATATTACATAGCAGTTCAACACACTTTTCTTTATTTCTAAAGATATTTTTCAATTGCTTTGTTTCGGCAAGGGATCTTTTGCTGGGGATTGATTTGTTGCATTCACTTTCATACTATTACCTTTGGAAAAGGCATGGATGTATCTTGACTCTTTTTTCCGTTTATAAATTAAATAGTTGAATAGATTGGGCTCTTTAGTCTTGAGTGGAAGCCAGTCTAGTAGGACTACTTTGAATTCAGTACTACAAAGAAGTCAACAGAAAAACATTCCACTATCTTTCCCAATATGTCATGGCAGTTCATGGATAATAAAGAAAAGAAATCTATGGAAAGACATAATCACTTCAAGGAACATGGCATAAACAACAATGACAACAACAAAAAACTTCATAAATACTGAAATCATTTGAGGCTGTCAGAATCACTGTTACAGTCTCATATAATCCTGTTATGTTTCTTCTCTTCATCTTGTATAAAAAATTTATATAAAAAATACGACCCTATACTGCTTACCACTACCTAAGTGCAAAGAAATTATTAACCAGTGAGGTGTTTAGATGGGACTTTTCTTGATGAGCCCCTTTATGAAGATCCTGAACCTGACTCAAAGTAATAAAAACTGAGTGTTCTGCAAGCACACCAATTAACATTTTCAGCGGAGAGCAAGAAGTTTAGACTCTGAAGCACCACATGGTCAACAAAAAAACAATGCTGCCAAGTTGTTCTGAAACTACCTTCATGGAGATGCAAACCGAGCCTTCCATGAAGTCACATTGCTGCTCATGTTTTGCTACTGACTTCTTGCCTCCTGACAGGTCAGAACACTAACAATCAGTGAACATTTGCTGTATGCCATTCATTACTAAGAACATTGTTTTTTTTTTTAACTTTATCAACTAATGTAAGTTTCATGTTCACATGAACATTTTTTTTTTTTTAAGTATCTTACTTACTTATTTTATTTAGGACTTTTCAGTGGGGCTAGGTCGGTTATTAATTAATAATTTCACTGTCAAAAATAAATAAATAAATAAACTCAGTGTACCCACTAAAAATAACATTCATTAAGAAATAATGTCGAATAAAAAATCCATAAAAATTAGATGTATCTTTTTTTTACACTACAGTGAGAAGTTTATTTGAATAACAATATTTTTTAATAGGATTATTCATTGTATTCAAATTAAAAAAAAATTCAACCAGATATACATACTGAAAAACCCATTGTTACACAGTAATATTATTTCAATTTTATTTAGTGTTTGTTTTTAGATGAGAATAAAAAAATAGAAATTAAGAAAGACAGGCATTTCTGTTATACTCGGTGTACGTTCTCATTTGTAAAAGAGTGGGGAAAATAAACTGGGATGTTAGAGAAAAAATAAAAATGAATTAAAAATCTGTTAGAATTAGGCTTGACAGGTTTTGTTTGAGTATAGTGTGTAAAAATATTATCAACAATTTTATTTAACATTTTCAAATCAGTTACACTTTTTTTTTGTTAATCAAGTACTACGACAAGTATTTTTAAAAAAGTTTTTCCGTCTTTTTTTGTGCTTTTATTTAGGAGAGAACTTAAAAGAGGAAAAATCGTTAGATTTCGATTTGAGCAGATTCCATATCGATTTTTATGTTTTTCAATCAATTTAGAAATCGAGTTGAGACAAAAAAAAGTAAATGAAAATAAAACAAATACAAATAATTCCAAGTAATTCAAATAACTCAAAGTAAATCAAAATAACTCAAATAACCTCCTCCATATTTACCTCCCCTTACAGCTTTTTGTTCATTGGTTGAAACATGTCGCCACAAGTCCAATGGTGGAGCTAACATTATACTTGAAGAAGCGAAAACTAATTTTCTAATCTTCGAGCTCTTCTTAAAATTGTCTTTATTTCTCCCCAGTGGTTTTTGGCTCTTCCTGACGGTAATGTCGACATCTGTTTGTACGTTTATTTATTTATTATATTATTCATTGTTTTGATTTTTTCCCAACACGGAAGTTTAATTTTAAATAAATATAAAATATAAATGCAATGCAAAAACTTTAAGAACAGACTGTAATAAGTTTTTTTCCCCCCACCCCGACGTAATTATGGTGATAGCTTTCTTAGAACATATTTCTTCATAGTTTACGGATCACGAATGAATTGTTTAATTTCCAAATATTTTGTTTACTTTGCTTCTTCTTCCGAAATCAGTTGATAAATACTTTATCACTTTAAGTGGACTTATGTTTGCAAAGTTTTTTTTTAGCTTCGTCTCTAAAAGTTTTTTTGCAAAAAAAACCCAAAAGAAACGGTGTTTAAATGTATTAAGGCTCGTTATTAAGCGTTTGACTTTTAGTAAGAAAAATAATTTTTAGTTTTGTGAATATTTCACCCGTAACAAGTATTAGTTAGCTGTTAGAATTATAAATAAGTTTTTATAATTAAAGTTTTTACTACCACTTCTTGCCTAATGCTTTTTAAAGCTTCTGTGTGTATTTGAAAATTAGTAAAAAAACAAAAGCTAATGTCCGAATTTGACACTGCATTGTTGTTCATTCTGCAAAAACTGTTTTTAATGGTCAAACAAAATATTCAACAAAAATAAAATGAAGATTTAAAATTCGATCTCGAAACAAAAACAGCAAATTTCTTTTCATGAATATACTGCGACAGATTTTTATTTTTTATGCAGAAAATTTTTATTTTTAGAGACCGTTCAAATGTATTTCCATTCATTAGATTTTTTTAATTTTATTTTTCGTAGTTGCTTAATTCAGTAAAATTAAATGTGCTTTTTTTTCTCAACTGACTTTAAGGAGACTC